GGGGTTTCACCATGTTAGCCAGGATGGTCACAATCTCCTGACCTTGTGATCCACCTGCCTTGGCCTCCCAAAGTACTGGGATTACAGGCGTGAACCACCATGCCTGGCCAGATTTTTATTTTTAATATTTTTGAGAAAACTTTTTCCGTAGTACCTGTGCCATTGTACATTCCCACCAGCAGTGCACAAGGATTACAATCTATATATATCCTCACCAACATTGTTCATTTTCAATTTCTGTTTTTTGGGTTTTTTTGTTGTGCCTTTTGTTTTGCATAGCAGCTATCCTGTTGGATGTGAGGTGGACTCTCATAGTATCTTTCATTTTTATTTTGTGAATGATTAATGATGTTGAGGATCTTTTCATGTGCTTGTTAGGCATTTGTGTATCTGGAAAAATATTCAAGTCTTTTTTTTCCATTTTTAATGGGACTCTTTGCTTTTTGTTGAGTTGTAGAAATTCTTTATACATTCTGGATATTAACTCCTTACCAAATATATGCTTTTGACATATTACCTCCCAGTCCATAGGTTGCTTTTTTTTGCTCTGTTGATTGTGTCCTTTGATGAAATTTTAAATTTTGATGTACTGTTGACTCTTTCTGTCTCTGGGTTCTGTATTCATGGATTGAAGCAACCATGGATCAAAAGTATTTGGAGCATCCATGGATTGCACTGATCATTAATCAGAAATATTTGCAAAACAAAAAGGGTACTTGGATCTGTACTAAACACGAACAGACATTTTTTCTTGTCATTATTCCCTAAACCATATATTATAATAAATATTTATATAGCATTTACATTGTATTAGATATTATAAATAACCTAGTGATTATATAGGAAGATGTGTGTAGGTTATATGCAAACTTTATGCCTTTTTATATGAGAAACTTCTTGAGCATCAGATGATTTTGGTATCCACAAGGGGTCCTGGAATCAGTCCCCCACGGACACCAAGGGATGACCGTAGTCCAGTTTATCTATTTTTACCTGTTACCTGGGCTTTTGATGTTATTTATATATATATATAAAAATTAGTATCAAATCCAATGCCAAGCATTTTCCCTATGTTTTAATCTAAGAATTTTATATTTGTGGGTCTTACATTTAGGTCTTTTTTTTTTTTCTTTTGGAGACAGAGTCTTGCTGTGTCACCAGGCTGGAGTGCAGTAGTGGAATCTCAGCTCACTGCAACCTCCACCTCCTGGGTTCAAGCCATCACCCCACCTCAGCCTCCCTAGTAGCTTGGGTTACAAGTGTATGCCACCACACCTGGCTAATTTTTGTATTTTTAGTAGAGATGGGGTTTCGCCATGTTGGCCAAGCTGTTCTTAAACTTCTGGCCTTAAGTGATCCGCCCACCTTGGCCTCCCAAATTGCTGGGATTATAGGCAGGAGCTGTAATGCACTGTGCCTGGCTACATTTAGATCTTTAATCCACTTGGGGTTCATTTTTACATTTTGCATATGGTTTTAAGGCAAAAGTCCACTTCATGTGGCTATCCAGTTTTCCAAGCACCATTTGTTGAAAAGAGCATCTTTCCTCTGTTGAGTAGTCTTGGCACACTTGTCAAAATCATTTGTCTGTATGTGCCATGGTTTATATGTGGATTCTCTATTGTATTGGTCATATGTCTGTCTTTATGTCAGTACCACACATTTTAGGTATGTGTGTGAGACTCAGTTTTGAGGACAAGGCTAGTGGGCTTTCACACTCCAGACTGCTGTGTTCCAGCCCAAATTATTCAAGTTAGCCAATCCATGGGGAACATGGAAAACATAGCTAATGCAATCCCCTTGCCTTCCCTAAGTTGTCCCCTGCAGCCTCAGGTTGCTGTTACTCTGTCTCAGATGCATCCCTCTGTGGGACCTTACCCAAGTTCCCTCATTCTTAGCTATAGGTAATAAATAGTTCTGATTTTGTGTATGCAAGTGACATTGGGTTGTTTCTTGCTATGAGAAAAACCCAGAAATGTATTATGAGTCTAGTGAATGTTGGAAAGTCTTTAGCCATTAGCCTAATCTCATTTTGTGCCAGCACGTTCACCCTAGAGAAAAATAGAAGTGAAGGCAATGTGATCTTTCCTTGTTAACATAATAACTCGGTAGAGCAATGCTTTGGAGATTAGTTTTTTAGGGAGAGAGCCAGCAGTTGAGCCTCCTGCATCTGAACATCCACACTAGGGATATTGTCTATACTGCCAGATATATGGGAAGATTTTGTGAACTGTGTTGCTCTTTTCAACTTGACTGGGGCCTTTGCCAGAGTTATGCCCCTGCCATGGCCTATTAAAAAAGTCATCTCTTTTCTACCAAGTGGCAAAGAGCCATGGTGTGTAGCACTTTAGTCACATTAAAACGCAGTTATGGCAGCATGCTGTGTTCTCTATCTGAAGAATTCACTAATCACTTGAACACTTTGGAGGCCTCACCCCCTCTCCTATGATTGATTAGGGCATAGACATCAGCCTTGGACAGAAGACATGGACTGGCTTTGGCAGGTAGATTGCAGAAATTTCCTTTCTCCAGGGGAAAGTATTGGTTATCTCATTGATAGTGGTAGGACGCAGATAAATTCCTAGGCAGACTAAGGACGGGTCCCTGGTGAAACCCAAACTTCAAGCCAAAGACAGTTTAAAGCCTGAAAATTGAGCTGCCAGTTCCAAGTCCATGACTGGAGTGAGAACTTCCTCAATGCCTTTTAGCCAATTGAATGGTGCTTTTTCCAGGCCCACCCATGGCCCAATCAGTATGCAGTCCCCATTCTGAGCCCATAAAATCCCTGGACCCAGCTACACACTGGGCTGCCCACTTTCGGGTCCCCTCTTGTTGTTGAGAGCTTTTCTGCCACTCAATAAAGTTCCCTGCCTGGCTCACTCTCTGGTGTCCACATAACGTCATTCTTCTTGGTTGTGGGACAAGAACTCGGAAACTGCCAAATGGCGGGTGTGAAAGGAGCTGTAACACTGTAGCCCTCCTGCCTTCCACCAGCCCCAGGCAGCCACCCCATGTAACAGGAAGCAGTGGCAGCAGGGCCAGGCCAGCCCACGCAGGGTGGCAGGATCAAACCAGCTGTGCCACACCCCCATTCACTGAAGTGTGTGGACGGTAGGAACGGACAAGCTGTAAGACAAATCAGCTGTAATGCTTCCTTGGGGCTCAGACCTTGGGATTCCCTGAGCGAAAGCTGTAACACCCCTTGGGGCTCCGTGGTTGCTGGTGTCTCTGAGTTTTTGGGCGCTGCTGTGTCCCCCTTCTCCAGACACCAGCTCCCAAGGCAGAAGCCGGTCGCAGCACACCTGGACCAGCTGTAGGCCAAGCACAGAGCCATAGTGCGCACAGGATCCGGCTGGTAGCATGAGCCAAGCACAGCCTGCCGGACTGAGTGGGTGGAGTGAGCCCAGCAGGCCAAGTGATGTCTGGGCACAGATGCTTCGGCCATGGAGGTTTCTGGCTGGTGAAGTGGCACTGAAAGTATCCTGTGTCATCATGACACTTGGGATGGAATTTTCCAACCTGCCAGTCACCCACACTGTGAACTCCTTCTCACCCCTAATGCACTCACATACCCTGGTTGGTTTTGTGATAATAAAGGTCACATTGTTTAAGCTACCTTCACTCTTGGAAATCTAGTCTGAATGCAGTGGGTTTTGAACAGAATTGATCTCTGCTAGAATAAAAGCATGAATGTTTTTTCTGTGGGACCTTTGTGAGCTCCAGAGGGAGTAGTAGGAAGCAAAATCTCAGCTCTCATGCAGATTTGGACCAATTTGCACTGCCATGAGAAGCCTCCTGGGAAAGTCTGAAGGACTTCTGCACAAAATCTCAAGCCCTGAGTACAAAGGTTATTTGTATTCAGAAGAGTACAATTTGAGGAGAAAACAGTTGCCTTGATGTTTAAGGCATTGGGCAACAGTATGCATTGGGTATCCCTACACAGATTTCCCATATTTCCCCTGCATTGAGGAGGGATAGATGTCTCTTGTGACCTGCTGGGAGCTATGTGTCCTGAAGTAAAACACTATCTAGGTGTATGTTCCTGGCTGTTGACCTTTAGGGCCAGATGGAAGCCATATTCTTTTTTTTTTTTTTAGACGGAGTCTCGCTCTATTGCCCAGGCTGGAGTGCAGTGGAATGATCTCGGCTCACTGCAACCTTGCTTCC